TTTAAACTTCATTTCCAAACCTTTAAGTATATCAATTTTAAATCAGGATTTTGTTGTAACTTATACATTCAATTTTCAAATAAGGACACAACTGAATTTAGTTTGATTTTTAAGGTCCCAACTCCTCCACACATTGGCACAAAGCGAATGGTTAAAAGGTGATATGGCAATATAACATAATAAATCAATACAATTAATTGGCTATATTTGCCTAGAAATTTCGCTAAAAAGTGTGGAAATGTTGCTTTTCAAGTTTTTATAACCAACCATATTGGAATACAATCAATTTAAAATAATTAACAAATTTCAATCCGAAAATAATCAGTTATATTTTAAATTGGATTTTGCGCTTGGAAATTGAAAGTTTTAATTCTTAATTAATCAAGTTAAGTCATTTTAAATTGATAATTTTTTTGAAAAAGTTGTTTGTTTTACAACTTAAATTATATTAAATTGTAAAATAGTAATTATTGGACGAAGAATGAAGTTTCTAATATTAATGAATTTATCTTTATTTAAAAGTTAAAATTATACAATTTAAATTATAAAATACTTTTTTCTCCCAAAAATACATTCTAAGAAGGAATAACCAAACACACCCAAGAGGTAGCGTGGCACTTCACATGGCTTCTTTGAGGGTTCCACTTCACCCACAGTCACAGACTAAAGCAAAAATATATGATTACATATTAGAGTTAGATTGGAAACTTCTTGACCAACGTGAGAGGAAAAAAAGTTTGTGGACTAAAACACTACCACATCCATAATTTATTGAACGGAGCCGAAAATTGGAAAACAGAAATTTCCAAATCCCAAATTTAGGCCGTCGTTTGCGTGCCACCGTGAGAGGGACATATCGGTAATATCGCAAACAATAGGGCACCATTTCTGTCAAACTACTCAAAACCCTAAATGCCAATGACAGAAACAGACCTATAAGTATCCAAACCGATCGTCTGGCCTTTTCTTCTCCTACACTTGCCGCCGCCGCCTCCTCATCTGCTTCGCATTCTTTGAAGTTCTCGATCACTCTCCGGCGGAGTAACTCCGGTTCTCGGCAACAAAAATGGGGTAAGTTCACTTTCTTTCCCTAACTACTTTCTCAGTTGAATGTTCTCGAGAAAAAAGAAAACAGAAAAAATCATCTTGGACGTCAGTTTTATGGAGTTTGCGCATCAATTAATGCCAGATTGATAGTTGTGCTTGTTTCTCTCCATGTATGCGCTTGTAATAGTCATCAACACAGTAGTTGAAGCTAGAAAAGTGTCGTAGATTGGTTTGGAATTGAATTTGCAACAGATTATGAACGTTGACCAGGGCAATGTATTGTGATCTATGTGTGGTTGTTAGTTTCATTGATATGACTCAGTAGATGTTTGTCTGTGCCTCAAGCTTGGGTTATTCAATGGAGATTTTCTTTTTTCCTCCTTGAGTGATAGCTTTGTGTTATGGGTGTTTTACGTTTTATGTAGTTATGGGGAAATTGGTTTACCAAGTTGCCAAATTGTGAATGTTATCCAGGAAGACTCGTGGTATGGGAGCTGCCCGTAAGTTGAAGTCTCACCGCAGGAGGCAAAGGTGGGCAGACAAGTCATATAAGAAGTCCCATCTTGGGAACGAATGGAAGAAACCATTTGCCGGCTCATCTCATGCAAAGGGCATTGTTCTTGAGAAAATGTAAGATCAAGCACCTATTTAAATGAAAGTAATGCTTTTTGTTAGATATGTGATATTGAAATGGAATGCAAATCTGACTAATTGTTTATTGGATTATGCAGTGGAATTGAAGCTAAGCAGCCCAACTCTGCTATCCGAAAGTGTGCTCGTGTTCAGCTGATCAAAAATGGGAAAAAAATTGCTGCTTTTGTACCCAATGATGGTTGCTTGAACTACATTGAGGAAAATGTAAGTGATGCATATGATTGTAGAAGTTACAAGCTGAATTCTCTTTATTCTGAAATGAATTGCCAGCACTCTGCTTAGTACCTGTGGTTATTCAGTCATAAAATTTGCATCATAAGAATTAATTTTTCACTTTTGTGCCCATGTTTATTATGTTATTGACTTCCCTTTTCCACTCTTTTCTCCCTGATTCGCCATCCTAATCCTCCTGTTCCTATTTTATATCTGATTTCTCTGCAGTGAGTTGAGGCTTTCTTAGTATATCTCCTATTATGTCCAAGGATGATAAATAAGTTTATCCATACTCTAAAAGGTCATGTGCTCTCCCCTGCATGCTATAGTAATTTAGCTTTGCTTTATTTGTGCAGGATGAGGTTTTGATTGCTGGATTTGGACGAAAGGGGCATGCTGTGGGAGATATTCCTGGAGTCAGGTTCAAGGTTGTTAAGGTGTCTGGTGTATCCCTTCTGGCTCTCTTTAAAGAGAAGAAGGAGAAGCCAAGGTCTTAGGTTGTTAGCAGAGTTTGTCATTCATCATGCTTTCCCTTACCTCTTTTCTTGTTGGATTACTGTAGTGGAGTATTATCCAAATACTTTTGTTGTTACTCGAGTAAAATTGTGAAATTTCTGCGAGGTTTTGATATCCTTATCTTCCTACTTGTTCATTTTTAACTTCGGGCTTTGATTACGTGAGATCAGAGAGTTTGTACAATTCAAAATACGTTCTTGAGATCCAAGAGCAACAAATATTTGAGGGTGAGGAGTTTACAATTTCCTTGGAAAGTACTATTTTAAGGAAATCTACACCAACTTCTCTTCAAGACAGACAGTTCTTCATTAGCATTAACCATGTCGGCTTTATTGCTCTTATAGAGATCCGGAACTGATGTACCGTCTAATCTAAAAACAAGATCCTCTAGTTGCTGGAAATTATAATTAAAAAAACAGCCTCTACCAAGCAAAGTTTATCACTGTTGCAAACTCAAAAACCTCTCTTTCAACATAATGGAAATGGACTAGGATTTTGTAGATGTTAACAATCCCTTCATAAAGGAGCTCATCTAAGAAAGATGATTCCAGTGTTCCATCTATAACAGACTACCTATAGCCCGCCACCCGCCCCCCGCAACCACCCCAAAAAAGGAAAAACATGTACCCTTCCCAATTTATAGCTCTATTGCCGAATCCCTACCGAATTCAATGGCTTCGATAAGTCTAGTTAGATCATGAACTTCATTCCTAAAATTGGAAATATTTTCCTTGTCATTGCCACAAACCGTATGGGGGTCATCTTTCAGAGGATTTGTGCTTACATCTTCATTCTGTTTCTGATCTTGCTTCTTAAGCATTTGATGTGCTTCTCCCTTGCTTTCCATTCTACTTTTGTTTTCCATTATCCCACCGATTTCTTTTTCTTCTTCCTTTGGATCAGATTTTTGGCAGGCACTTCTCACTTCAAAATCAGTGGGAGAAGCACGTTTGATGCCAGGACCAAAAGATGAGGCTTCAGCTTCTGGAGAGCCCGGCTTCATTCTCTTAGTCCTCATTGATGTTCTTGCCGACTGAAGCTTGCTGCATTTTCCTCTATTCGAAGTACGATCAAGGTTACTCCCACTGCTTCTAATTTTGGTAGTTTGTAAGCCTGTGTGGAACTTGAGGTTACCATCTGGTTCTAATGCAATGGATTTCTCCTGTCAATGAAAGACTGTGATGCAACAACTCCATGGTAATCAAATCATTAACTACTAAAACAGAAAATGATAAATAAACAAACAGAATAAACATAGAGCAACTAACCATATCAAAGAATCCAGTCTTTGGCGATGGCATTAGAAGAGTTGAAGGTTTTAAGCTCCCTGAAACAGTCTGTGTTAGTGGACCAGTCCCCTTCGACAATCTATCAACATGTTGATTTGTCAACTTCATTTCTTTAACTTTACTCCCAGTCGGTAATCGATCACAAGAAGGGCTCCCATTGTCTGGTGCCTGAGTAGCATTGCTGTCCAAAGAATCCCCTCTATGGAGGGTAGCATCAAGGTTGCTTTAGAATTTACAGATATTTGATTCTTGGAAGCAGGTGATCCCATGGACCATCCTTGAATTATTTATATATACATACATATATATATGTGTGTGTGTGTATATATATATATATTCTGAACATAGGTAATTGGGGGTGGGGAGGGGGGATGGAAAAAGAACTCTCAACCTAAGAAACCCTAAGTGTTAAAGATTTGAGGACGAACCATTAGGCCAACAAGGTTAGTTCATCCGTCAATTGAACTAGAAGGTGATGTAGAAGAAGAGTAGAGTCAGAGTGTGGACAATGAGTGCACGGGCTGACTGGAAACTACTAACTTGCTTTTGCTTCCAATTTTTTTTGGTACATGCTTTTGCTTCCAATTACTGACCTTGAAGGAGTAGTCGAGCTTGAATCATAAGCAGCCAGTCTTGAATGGTTCTTTCTTCTCAAAGAGTTTGAAAGAGATTTGTTGATGGATTTTGATAGAGCACTATCAGACCCTCCAGAAGAAGCTGATCTCGGTGATGGTGTCAACGAAATACGATTTCCTGAGTCACCACAACAAGGTTTCCTTGACATGTTTTTCCCTGTAGCATTCACAAGAAATTTCACACTAATTCTTCAAGAAAATGTTTGGCGAGATTTAAACTTCTATGAATGAATACAAATTCAAGGCAATATCAAATATAATTACCAAATGCATCCTTTTTGATTTTATGTTCCACTTTCTCTGTCTTCGCACTCAAAGAAGCCTTTTTTATGGCAAAACTTGACAGAGGCTCAGCCTGGTTGAGTGTCTTTGATGGCTTACAAGAGGAGGAAGAATTATATTCTCCATTTCGAGCAGGAGCCTTCACTTGAGCATCAAGAATAAAGTCAAAACTTTAATCTGATCTCTTAGATGACATATCATAAGATGTCATATGCAAGAGAGTGAAAAGAAATACTACATACCTGCAGGCGTTCTTTCGCCATCTTCTCTTTACCATGTACCTTGACAGATTGCTTTCTCGAAGGCAGCACAGGCCCCATCTGAAAGTTTTAAGTTCATACAGTACATATATCAAATCGAGTAATGGTAAAAATACAATTGCGTCGGATATGATAGAAACATACCGTTGTCCTAGAAGAAGAGCCCACCATTTTGGAAGCTGAAAACAACCCCCATAATTAAGCACATTGAAGAGAAGAACAAGCACAAATTACATAACAAGTAGAAATTTATATAAAAGCTTAACTAACTTACACTGGAAATTCTGTTCGCCCATTTCTGAACTTGAAGCTGCAATATCGGATGCCGTACTTGATTTCTGTAGTGATGTTTTCATATGATCAAAAAGATCAATCTCGAGGCTTGCTAAGGAGAATTCACTATCTATTGTAGAGTTTGAGTCAGCAGACTTCCAAAAATCTTCTTCAATTCCAGGAAGCATAGGAGCTTCAGACTTCTGAAACCCTCCATTTATCATAGACAACTCTTCTAGATTCAAAAACCCTGAGAATTTGCAAGCAAAACCAGGAATGGTAAAAACTAGAGACCAACATGAATATTACAAAATGAGGCAAAACAACCAAACGGGGACTTAGAATATGAATTCATATGCACAGAAATCATACCTGCGCTTGTGAAGAAGGCACTATCCCAAGCTAAGCTTCTGCGAGCATTACATTCAGCAACTCTGCTTGTTCTTTCTGCGTCCAAAGACTCAGAAGGCAAACATCTCTGTTCCCCGTGCTCGGGTTTGTTAACCCCATTCTCCAAATTCCCAACATTCAGGGTCTCAAACAGCTCTTCAGGATCCAAAATTCCTACATAAACGAAAAGAAATCCATGGGAGTGAATTACTGAATTTCCGTTTCCACGGAGATAGAGAATTGGGCATACAAAATTCAGTTTCTTGAAGGCTTAAACAAACCTGGACTCGTGAAAAAGGCCGTATCCCAAGCCAAACTCTTGCGCAAGTCGAATTTGGATTCGGGTTCAATGTGATCGCCATCTTCTCTTGGGGGGATAATCTGCGGAAACCCATCCACCTTCTTTCTTTTCCCTGCCATCTCTGCAAAATCAATCGATTACATTTAGAAGAATCAAAAGAGAAGAACATGTTCAAGATTTCAAGAATATTTCACAATCGTTGATTTTCTCGGCATCCAAACGAAGAAAACCCAGAAACGAAATCAAACCTGCAACTCGAAACTCTTGAAAGTGATTTGCTTCTAAGGACATTTCGAGCATGAGAGATTTGCTTGTTTTTTGTTCAGGACTGAACTGATATTTTCTCGTGTATTTTGATGCTCTGTTTTTCAATTAACATTCCTCGGCGCCTTGTTTGGTGGTAAGTATAAAAGGAAATGACGAAAAAGGAGGGAAAAGGGAGATAATTTTAAATTTTTAAGGAAATTTAAGATTCGAGTACGTAATTAAGCAATAATTGGGAGCGGATTTTGCGTGTATGAAATGAGTACCGGATTCTATAAACTTCCATAAAATGGTCTTAAAAAACTTTATAAAAATTAATAGTGATAACCTTTTTTTAGTGGTAATTTTATTTTGTTAAAAATAAAAAATTTTGAGTTTAAGTTGTATGATATGTGGTTGAGATACAATTAATATAAAAAAAAAGCTTCATAAAAATTAATGCCTATTAATTTTGATTTTTTTAAAGAAATTGAAGTTTTAATATATATTTGAAAATTAAAATTTTAAAAATTTATTATATTAAATGTTAATATTTAGATTTAAAAACTGATTTTATATTTTAAT